CAGCGCTCACGGCGGGCAGCGCTCACGGCGGGCAGCGCTCGCTGCAATGAGCCGGCTACTCCTACCCCACGCCACAGAAGTTGAAACTGAGCCTTCGAGATGTCAAGTGATTTGTCCACGGTCAGGATCCAATGAAGTGAGTCTCCAGGTCGTCCAAGGCCCTCAGTAACCTCGTAAATGTTCAACTGTGCTCAGCAGACCAAACTGACATTGATCAGAGCATTTGATTTTACGAGGCGAATGTTCCAGAAGGATGAGTGCCACCGGCATCGCTGGGTTATCCCGACTACACAAATGACAGCCGTGCTGTGGCTCCGGGGAATCCGTGATCACTGAATTGGTTCTAAGCAGTTTCAGGAACATATTTTATGATGAATAATTGAGAAATAAATATATTATGAACTAAGAAGGAGAGATCACAGACCTGGTTAGTCCCTGCCCTCACATTCAGGTATTGTCTAATTTTCTCTGAACTGCAGATTCCAGATGAAATGAGGACAAAGCGGAGTGGGAGACCAGGGTAGGGGCCGCGCAGCTGAAAGGCGAGGCCGCCACTGCAGGTCTGAGGGCCGCGAGCTGACGTTTCTCCTTTCCTGAGGCTAAGATGTGTATTGACTCTGTTCCTTGTGCCGAATGCCTCACCCAGTTCCTCCCCCAATTCACCATAAATGCGTCTGCCTCCTGGGAGGAGAGGAGAGTCATGAGTTGAGCTGTTGTTGGAGAAACTCCATCCACCTGAAAATCACAGGAGCGAAGCCAACAGACCCAGTGGCCCATCTGCTTTCTGAGATAACAGTTCACGAGCCAGTGAGTGCTGTTTTCTGTTAATTTTTTTCTCTGAAAAACTCCAAATGACTTAAAGTTCCTCTTTAATGTAAATATTAGAGATAATTTTCACAATGAGAAGTTTAATGCCCACAAAAGATTTCACTACAATAAGGTAAGCCAAGTGATAATTCCTTACATGAAGAAAGCCCTTCCTGGTTACCAGGAAGCAAACCCCACTGAGTTACTAAAAAGCTGGATGTTCACAGATGCCTTTCCTTCTACACACCATATGTCTTTAAGCTTTATACTTGTGGACTTAAAAAATCTGAAGGATCTTTGAGAGAATTGGCTATTTCCTTTATAATATTCAAGTTTAGTTCAAGTAGGGGTTATTTTTCCCAAACAGGAAGCAGAGTTAGATTACAGTCAGCACTGGTGATTGGCAGCTGCCCCGAGGCCCATGATTAGGAAGGCTGGCCTGTGGATGTCCCTGTTTCACTTCCGGTCCACTTTCTCATGGAGCCTGATAAGGTGGTCCCCATGCAGCCAGCACACCTGGCCTGGTCTGTTTCAGGAAAAAAGCCGCAACCTTGGGAAGGTCACAACTAAGAGAACACAGCCTTTGCTAAGGACCCTATGAGGGACAGGGCAGCCCCTACAACAAAGTGTTATCCAGCCAACACTGTGTGAAGTGCCCCGGTTGAGAAACCCTGTCCCTGACAGGTATGGGATGGGAAAGGGGAAGGGAAGAATGCTGACGTAGGAGGGTCCAGCTTGTGATTACAAAACCATCCCTTCCAGAGTCCCTAGAGGGAAGATCGGAAAATTGGACGTGCATTAGCAAGGCATGAGAGGCCCAAGAACTACGCAGCTGGACCTTCCAAAGGGCAAAGCCGAAGATGGTGGGAGGACAGGACAGGCGATGCTGCCAATCGTCACGCCTGACAACCGTCTCTGGGGCTGAGACAGATCCATGAGCTCGCACGCGGAGGACTGAGGGACCTGCTTCATCAGGTTTTTGATTTAAGGCTCGGGCCCTAGGGCCACGTAACTGTGACTTTTCCCTGCAATGATGGTAAGCAGACATGAGGAAATCCTTGGTAACAGGTTAATGCCTTCACAGCTGCTTCTTAAAAAATACAGTAATGTAAACTAAGTTTTATTTAAAAAGTGGACTGTAAATCTCCCGTTTTATCTTCAAGAGCCTCTTTGGAGAATGCGCTAAAGGAATACTAACTCAGCTGTAACTGAGTTACAATGTACCTCGTCGTATCGTCAAATACAAACACAGAATCAACCAAAGAACAGCCATGGATCACATGACTGGAAGATGAAAGCTCGGGACACAGACTGGACCCTCTGTCTCCACAGCCCACTTAGAGTTTAGTTCCGTGTCATGAAACAGTTTTCCTTGGTGCCATTTATGAGAAGTTTCTGATGAAAGGAGCTCTCGTGCCCAGTGTCCCATGACCAAGGCATTCCCTGGGGGATCAGGGCCTCGGTTATTTTGCAGCCAGCTTCCCTCAGCTCTGTCTCTCTGTCGTGACGCTGCTCCCTTCCCAAGCACGTGCAGCCAGTCAGCTCACCTTGCCAAGTTTAGGAACGCTTTAACAACTAGATACACAAATCTCAGTCTAATCTTGAGTCTTTAAAAGTAAGACGCTGTGTAAGATAAAAATCTAGATGTTTTATTGCTGTCTTGGTGTAAACATTTATACCGTAATCACTTTTGCTTCTAAAGGACCTGCATCCAAAGGACAAACTTTTGATTCCCTTTAACATGGCCTCTAACATGGCTGTGAACCATAAAGGGTGAAACGCATTTTTAAAAGCCTCTCAGAGCTTTCTGTATATACTAAGACCACAGCGCAGCACCTTCTGTGGGTGAGCCCCCAGTCCATCACACCTGCTATCCGTACAGGACTCTAGGAGCAGACGCTCAGCCCTTCAGAGGAGAACCACCTGGGAAAAACCAGAGGGGGCTCCCAGAAGGAGAAGCCAGGGAGAAAAGAAAGGTCACCAACCCTAAATCCATCAGGAAAATGTTGACCTCTTCAGGGGAGGCTGCTTAAGAGATCGACATATTTTTATATGTATGATATAGATTTTAAAACTATGCTTGAGTACCTAATTTTTTGGTATTTTATTTTTACATGAACTGTTTAATTCTCTGACAGTTATATATCCAGCAGCATATAGCTTTGCGACTCCAATGACAAAGTATTCAATGTGAAAAAATAAACAGACTGTTTTTTGACTATTTAACTTTGCCCTCAATTTGTGTCCTACTCACATTCGCAAATAATTGCTCAATTCCTTCCAGGAAAGTTTCTGAAGAATATTTAAGGAAGATAGGTTGAAGGATCATTTTTTCTATGGTAAATATTAACAAGTTTTATAAAGTATTTTCCAATAATAACAAAACATTTGAGCTTGAAAAATAAAATAAAAAAATTCTTAGAAATATAAAATGTATGGGGCTAAAACACAAAGAAAATGCAATTAGGATCAAATCATAATTCAAAGTTGGCAAATGCTGGCAAACATTTCATCTCCACTGTAAATTCAAGCGCTTCTGGCAGGTGTTGAGGAGCTCATGTGCTCCTCAGACAATACCATGGCTCCCTGGCTCAGCCACACTGTCCCCAGCACACGCTCCCTACACAGATAACACTAACTGTCAGCTTCCTAACACCCTCACTGTCTGAAAGGCAAGTAAGAGAACTGAGCACAGCATTTTCTAAATGAAGTACTTCTCAAAATAATGTGAATATCCTACAAATTAAAGAAAAGGGCTGAACATTTCCCACAGATTTTCATAACCTATCAGATTGGTTGGAAGTTTGTGATCACAAGATGAATATGAATCATTTATAACATATAGGGTTATTGATTTACCAACTCTGTCGTGATAGCTGGAAAGTTCAGGATAGAGCTTATATTCATTTCTGTTACCTGCAAAAAAAGAGGGGAATGGTGATTTTGTTGTTTATATTATATAAAATACACAACATTGCCAAATCCTGCCCTTGCTGAGCAAATATTTTAAATCACTAAGTTGAAAGGATCATCATCATTTGATTGTGTGTTCCATCAGAAGGTATGCCTGAATAAGCCCAGGAGATACAGCAAGTATGAGGGAGACGATAAATATCTGGTATCTGTATGACACAGAAGTACACACACTATTCTCATTATAAATTCAGATGAAAAATTCTATTAGGTCCTTCTTCAATTGCACTGAAGGTGAAGAAACAGAAACCATTGATTGATGGAAGGATTTACTGTGCATAAGAGCCATGCACTAACTGCTTCCACATCCACATCCACGTTCCACACTGGATTCCTGTTCTGACTCTTTAGGGCAGTGCAGTGCAGTGAGAGGTGGGATGGTCTGGGGCTTGCTTTTCTTCTTAAAGTGTACAAATAATGATTCTAACAGTATAGAAGATGAAGAGCATACTCTGCACATCATGTTCTCAGCTGGCCTGCTTTAAAAAGAACTTTCCAGGAGCTGGAGATCTGGGGTCTCTTAAGTGACCTGTGCCCACACACCCTTTTGTAGCCTCTGGGTACCCCTAAAGATAGGCATACACCAGTTCAAAGGCCATTGGCCTAAGAAACTTATGAAAAGAAGAATTTAGAAATAAACATTGGTGGGATAGGGAAAAGGATACAAATATTCCATGAGAATCTATTTTTTAAAATCGATTAGAAATATTTTTGGGCAAGTGACCAGCTGTAAGACAAGTAAAATACATGCAAATTAAAATTTCCTTAACTGTGAAAATGGCACCAAGCAGAAATAGAAAAGTGCATCCCATTCGCCATAGCAAATCAAAATAGCAAAGTATTTGGGAACAAATTTAACACAAAAGGCACAGAAACTATGAAATCTTACTGAAAGACAAATAAAATCTCAACAAATGGAAAGCAAGAAATAAAATTATCTCTCAAATTAATAAATGTATACATGTAATGTTACTGTAATTAGCATTGAAAAATTACAGAATGGATACAAGTACATAATACTATTTCAACTAGAATTGTATATTGGGGAGGAGGGAAAATTGGGAAAATGATTTCAAATTATATGAAGACTAAGTATCCAGTAAATGCAAAGATGAAATATCACAGGAAAATCTAGAAAACTATGAATACACTCTTGTATAGGAGGTGGGAAGAGCTTAACCATGACCAAAGTATCCAAATCTATAAAAATTAAATGACAAACATATTTTTAGATAAAACTTAAAACTTTCATATAGTAAAATTATGAAAAACAAGATCAAAAGAAAAATGATAAATGTTCAAATATGCTGCAACCAAAATGACCAACAAAATCTGTAATATCTAAACATTTCCATAAATTGAGACAGCAACAAATATTCCAACAGGAAAAAATAGACCAATGAAATGAAGAGACTTTTCAGATAAAATTAAATCCCAAACACCAGCAATTATATGAAGAGATGTTTAAATTCACTAATAGGAATAAATACAATCTGATGAACAAGGAGGTGTGACGAGCCTTGACTCACAAAATCTTCTAGATGCTTCTACAGTAATTGTAGTGAGGAAGGTATATGCTGAAGAATGTCATAATGGATGTTATAATTGAAAATGTACACAGTGGGGAATGTAAGTGGTGGAGAAGGTATACAGTGGGGAGTGCATATAGTGAGGAATATACATGATCGGGAATGTAAATGTGAAAGATGTACACAGTGGGGAATGTAAGTGGTGGAGAAGGTACACAGTGGGGAAT